TTCCCCTGCCTTCCCCTGCCTTCCCCTGCCTTCGCCTGCTTCCCCTGCTTCCCCTGTCTTCCCCTGTCTTCCCATGCCTCCCCCTGCCTCCCCCTGCCTCAGCAGGGTGCAAGAGTGGGCTGTGGTTCACATATGACGCAGATGGGCGTATAGGGCTGTGCTTTGCATATGACGCAGATGGGTGTATTTTCCTCTTCTTTCACCTTTCCAGCCTTACAATTGTAAAATGCTAAAAGACGGGGAAAAGGGAAAGAAGTGAAAAATAGAAAAAGTAAAACCAAAAAGACGAAAACAGAGAACAAAAATGAAAACCAACTGTGCGCTGCCTGTGTCTCCTCTCCTTCCTCTCTCTCTCTCTCTCTCTCTCTCTCTCTCTCTCTCTCTCTCTCTCTCTCTCTCTCTCTCTCTCTCTCTCTCCCCCTCCTTTTTCCAAAAGGTCGCAATTTCCATTTTTGGCAAAAAAATTGTAACCAGTTCGTAGCACCGTCGCAGTATGTAGACAACAACGAAACGAAACAGCCCTCCAATCTGGCTGCATCTAACCGTACATACATACATACATACATACATGCATATAGACATACATACATACATACATACATACATATAGACATGCATACATACATACAGCGCTGTCCTGCTGCACTCTTGTTGATCAAAGCCGTTGTTGATGGATGGGGGGGGAGGGGAGTGGGGGAGGGAAAGCGCCACTGTGATGAAATTTGGTATATTGAGCTACCGACCCATTCCAGCACTTTTGGGGCGAATATGGAACAACTCATGCGTACTCAAGCACAGGTGAATCACTTACTCGAGCAACACTCTTATAAACATAAATAAATATAAATAGGTACAGATGCTGGATGACTTAAAAAGGAACAAAAAGAGCCAAAAAAAAAACGAAGTCCTCGGATGGACACAAGACTCAGCCATTCGAGCAATCGACGCTTTGGCACAGCAGCAAAGCACTTGAGAAAAAGTGGTGTGGAGACAAAGACAAATAAAGAGTAAAAAAACAATACTCTTAAATTCACGCAACACAAAAAAGAAAAAAGAAAAAAAAAAATCACGCAACACAGGCACTCAAGTCAGCGTTGACTGGCAATCGAGCAAGCAAAAGCCCACCCCATAACCAAGTCAAACAAGTAGAGCAAATGGTGAAAAAGTAAAAAAAAAAAACTCGAAATCCATGAAGCACAGTCAAACAAGTACTATATGCACAAGAATGCACAGACGCTCAGGAACTGTAGCATCTCAAGCACAGAGTGATTATTGTCCGTCCGTCTTCCCCCCGAAGACGGGCATTATGTGTGCGTATGTGTGTGTATGTGTGTGCAATGAATTGCAGTATCCAGCGGGATACACTTAAACCACCAGTACTTGGGCGAGCTATGTATGCCGAGCCTGAAAACGGGCTGCGCGCTGTTTCGCGCCAACCCGCCAGCGCAACAAAGAAAAAACTGTTTTGGCTGGCGGCGACAGCCTTTGAGGGCCGGTACCCCGAGCCTCCGGAAGCTGCGGGGCGTTAACGACAACGCCCCATGGCCGATGTATGGGCCAAGTACTGGTGGTTTAACTGCCGTGGCAGTTTCCTTTCGTGGACGGCTTCGGGGCTTGATCCCTGGACCTGTCTCTTAGTAAGTTAGTTATTCCCTAACTCTGTGTAGATTTGACCGATGCGGGGTTTGATCCCTTGGCCTGTCCCCCCTTTAGTGGGGCTTTCTGCAATCGAGGCCCACGTTGCTTTGTTTGCTGCTTTCCCTCTTTTCACTGTTTTCAGTCTAGATTCGGTCCTAGGCAGTAAGCTGTTGTTCGTAGGCTGTAGGCTGTCGGTTCCTATAGTGTCTACAAAAGTGTAGAGGGAAATTGCGAACGGATTCTGTTGTTCGTTTTTCTCGACGCAGTGCTGCTGGAGGGGGTCGCGCTCTGCCTGGTGCTGCGTTACGTTCCCTGCGGCATGACCTTCATGCGGCTCGGGCTGTCCTCTGTAGCTGGGGCTGCCTAGCTGTGTTGTGCCAGCGCTGGGCATCAGGCCCTGAGCGCTGTAAGACGCCTCCTCGTACCTGTGCTGTCGTTGGGGATAGGCAGCGCTGCCGTCGAAACGCTTCTTCGAAGTGTTTGTTGCAGTGGCAGCCAGCTTCTTCTTCAGCGAGTTGCTGTCCTTCTTCTTCATCCTGGGAGCCGTGCTCCCCTGTTGAGCGGGCACTTCATCTGCAGTGGGCATCGCGATTGAGGCAGGGTGGCGTGCTGGGCTCAGGAGGGTGTGTGTGTGTGTGGCAATTGGTGGGTAGGCTGAGTAGGTTGGGCGCTGGAGATTGGATCGGCGCCATAGCTAGAGCTTGACGTCGAGGGAGGAAGAAGAAGTAAGAAGTAAGAAGTCTCCCCTTACTTGATAAAACGCTGTTCTTGGTTAGTTCATGGGTGTTAATAACGTGGTTGGGATTCTTGGAAACAGTGTCTGATCTGATTGTCTGGAGAAGAGAGGGTTAATTAGAATCGGATTTTGGTTTCCATTCTATTTTTGGTATTTGAGTGCTTCCACTGTGTATTCTCATCCGGTGTGGTGTGAATGGCTCTCTCCAAGGTCTCTTGTCGTTGCGCATGTGTATGGGAATGTGTATCTCGTTTCAATCAGGCACATAACATGTGTGTGTATGTCTGTGTGTTTATGTGTGTTTATGTGTGTTGTGTGCGTGTTGTGTGTGTGTGTGTGTGTGTGTGTGTGTGTGTGTGTGTGTGAGAGAGAGAGAGAGAGAGAGAGAGAGAGAGAGAGAGAGAGAGAGAGAGAGAGAGAGAGAGAGAGAGAGAGAGAGAGAGAGGAGAGGGTGAGACCCTACCGCTGCAACAGGTCATCTAGCACATTCTGAAATTTCAGTAAAAATTTGCAGAAGAGGGACAGCAGTGGTAACCGTAAAATTGCAATCGAATCCAAGGGCAATCTCGCAATTTGCAAACAAAGGCACATTTACTGTAGAGTCACGGGGCCACTGAGATTAATTGGGATTAATATTAGGTAGGCTGATCCCATTGTGAGGACGTACTCACACTAACTCTATCACCAACGTATCTGGTTGCATTCATGGCCGGGACCTGGATGTATCTGACCGCAATTACGTGCATAAGTAAGAAAGCCCTAGTGTGTGTATGCCCTGAGATCAACTCCCCCCCTCCTCCGAGCAAATGAAGGTTCTTCCTTACATATACAAGAGAAGATTTTCAGAGGTGCTGAAAAAAGAAAAAGAAAAAGACCCAAAAAAAGAAAAAGGAAACTTTCAGATGTTGATTGAGCCATCTGATGAGTTGGTTAAAAAACTTAAACCTATTCTCCGGGTAGAATTGTTGGGTCCCCGGCCCAGGTTGGATATATAATAAAGCGGTTCTTTTTAACTTAAACCCTAAACTCTCTGACACCAAGCTTTCTTTGTTCCGTCCCCTGTTCCGTGAGCTCGAACTCAGCACCTGGTCTGTATTTCATCAACAGTTCGTTCAGGGGGGATGTACCAACTGACAGCTAGGCCATTTGGTACCCCTGTTCCTCTTTTTTTTTTTCTATTTCTATTTGAGTTTGAAAATAGTACAAAATACGAAAAAAATTGTGAAATTGTGGAGGACTCATGTGCAGGTGGTCAGTTTATCATTTGCTTGTCAGAATCTGTGGCGTTTCGTGCAGGGGTTGAATTCTCGCAATTCTCGGGCTGACTACAGCTTTTTTTTTTGCCTTTTTTTTTCTTAATTCTCCTCTGTATCGCACTTTTTCCTTTGGTTTTGCCCTGTGCAGCCTATTATGGAGACATTTGCGTGGGTGCTATTGCTTGCCGGCAGGAGAAGAGGGATGGCGGCGGAGTCAAGCTGTACATTATGACCCTCGGAGTTCTAGCCCCATACAGGAGGCTTGGCATAGGTTGGTCGCTTCTTCTTTTTTTCTTTCTTTTTTGCCTTGATGATGCCCGATGGATTTGAATTCTACTAAACTTCACATGCAAATGGAGCTCGAGGGGATGGCTTCGCCGTGCGGGTGTGTAAAGGGGCACATAAACACCGACTCCTAAGGATGGAGTTTGAAAGCAAAGGTCAAGGTGTGCTTGTTGATGCTCTCTCTCTCTCTCTCTCTCTCGCACGCACACACACACACACAC